TCCCTATGAACTAAAAGTCAGCTTTAAAAACCAAGTTGATAGAGGTTATGTGTTTTGTTTACTTGGAAAGACAACAGCACATCTCAGCAACATGCATTGGAAATACATAATATAAAAAGATTTGCACTTTTTCAACTAATTTAGTAGCATTGACATCAGAGAATGTTTAGGTTGGAAGGGAAACCTCATTTGAACAGGCGGAGAAGGAAGGGTCCCTTATGATAAAGAACTCAAGTTTACTTAGATTGGGCAGGTTGCCCTGAGCTAGGGAGAAGACCAGTCTTTTGGGTACCGTGCTTCTATGATAAAGCCCTGGGGTACTTCTTCAATGTAGTCCAATCAAATTTCAAGTATAAAGCATGGTAGGGGAAAATAATCCTTTTTGCATCTTTTGCATTTTGTACTGTGTACACTCAAGAGATAGCTGTTTGTTTCTACCAATTAGTTAAAATACAAAGCACGAAAATCTTAAACGCCTCACTGTCCGAACAGAGGTCTTTTGGGGGCAAGGGAGTGTCAAAGGAGAGGACAGCTTAGTGGAGTTAGAATAAAGAGCCAGGAAGAGCCCCCAAAAAGAAACCCTCAGCTTCACCCAGCCTGTGAGGTAGAGTAGAAAGTACAACGGGGTTCAGATCTCTGCATCGCCACTACCTGTTATTTACCATTACTGGATCTCAGCCGCCTTATCTATAAAATATGGCAACGATCAGTGCTATTCTATGTATTCCAGATCAAAGTGCTTGGCATAAAGCAGGTGCACCATGAAGAGTAAATTATTGAGACCCCCGGGAGAGCATCTCAGGGATGTTCAAGCCAACAGAACAGTAAGGACTGGGGCAGACGACCGCAAGTGGCCTGAACCTGCAAAATTTCTTCCTCAGAGACCCTCAGGCACAACCCTTCTGCTTTCTTCATTTGATCTCTGCGAGGCCGGCTCCACGATCTCTGCGGAGCTGCTGACTCAGGGAAAATTGGAACCGGCGTGATTACAGGGAAATGTATTTTTTCCTCCTTGCAGGGAGGCCGGAAAATCAACGAGTCTGAAACGGCTGCTGCAACACTCTGAACAGCAGCCGGGGTGGGAATGTGGGTGTGGGTGGGGGAGTGTGAAGAGTGGAGGGCCGTGACTTTGCCCCCGAGCAGGATCCCCGGCATTGACCTCTCGCACGGAACCGGCACAAAGTGCTGAGTCACTAGGAGGCGGCACCGCGCAGTCACGTGGCGGGGGCTGGATCACAACAACGACGCGGCGTGCAGCGCCCGCGGCCCGCGCCGCTTCCTCCCGCGACTGAGCCGCTCTTCGAGCATGCTCAGCTCGGCCCCGCGGTGGCGCCGAGTCGCCAGCGTCCTGGCTCCACGGTCCGGGTTTTCCGGGCGGCCCTGGAGGCGGGGCTTGCGGCTGTCGCTGGGGTAGGAGGCGGGGAAGCGTTGTCTGGATCGCGGCTGGCAGTGGTAGGTTCAGGCCGACTGAGTCCAGGTTTTCTATGCGGAAGATGTGAATAGTAATCCGCCATTGAGCAAGGCTTGGAAAAGAGCTGGTTCTGCAGTCTACTAGCGCCTTTTCCCCTTAGCGATCATTAAACCCGTAAAAGATCTGTCCGGGGCTGGTCGCTGAAAACCTACTCGTAGAAGTACAGGAGGAGAAGTAAACCGAAAAATGAAAAACACTGTCAAGGGGCGCCTGGGTGGCTCAGTCGTTGAGCGTCTGCCTTCGGCTCAGGTCGTGGTCTAGGGGTCCTGGGATCGGGCCCCGCGTTGGGCTCCCTGCTCCGCGGGGGGCGTGCTTCTCCCTCTCCCACTCTCCCTGCTGGTGTTCCCTCTCTCGCCTTGTCTCTATGTCAAATAAATAAATCTTAAAAGAAAAAAAAAAATACACTGTCAAAATAAAGGGGATTGATTGTTGTTGAATGTGACTTTCTGTTAAGCTGTGGTGGGTTTCTCCCCGCCCCTTAACAGCAATTGGTAAAGGCACTGTGGCGGCCGTGGTTTAACTTTGACATAACAGACCGATAGTGCCACCATGCTGCACCTGATCTGCGATTGAACAGAGCCGGGGGTCTCTTCAGGGTACTGGCTCAGATTTCGGGTAGGAGAGGCCCCCTTTTGTGTCAACTGGAACCTGGGGCTGAATGACTCAAAGTACAGTGGTAACTGTCACTACATTCAGTACCACGTAGAGCTTTCGCTAAACTTGAACTTGGTCTCTTACTGAACCACCCTTGTCCATTAAAACGGAACTGATATTCTCCCAAGAGCCCAGCTTCAGGTATTGTGAGGAAATCCAGCAGGTGTAGGAGAAAAGTGTGTGCGTTGTAAAGTGTAAATGTCTACACCTGCTCTGTTTCAATTAAGAGGAATGCGAGGGACAGAGATAATCTTAAATTTCCCATTAACCACCTTTAAAAACTAAACAGAAGCAGGTGAATTAATTTAAACACTATACGGTATCTTAATATATCCAAAATACTGTTACAGCAACATGTGGTCAATATAAGATTATTAATGAAATATTTACATTTCTATGTTTGTACTGTCTTTGAATCTAGTATGTGTGTTACACTCACAGTACATCTCCTAGGCCACTAAATTTTCACTGGAAATACTTGATCTGTATTTCCATGTCATAAAATTAACAGACAAAAAAGTAAATTCACATTCCCAACCTGCTCCAAATTTATGTAAAAGTGTTCCATTAATAAAATGGAATATCAATTTTGAAATTTACATTTAAGTGGATTAAAATAAAACTAAAATTCAGTTTTACAGTCAAATTAGCCATGTTGCAAATGCTTGGTAGTCACATGTGGTTGATGGCTATTGTGTTGAACAATGCAGGCCTATGCAAATGTGAGATAAGATTTTGAGAATAAAAAATGATCTTTTAGATGCCTCACCTGCATGTGAAACGAGCAACACTGCCCCCCCCAGCTCCCCAAACTCCCTGCCTTCCCATAGGAAGCTAAGATTTATACAAGCGCTTTTCTAAAAAAAAAAAAAAAAAAAAATCAAAAGGCATAAGTCATCTCTCCAGAGTAAGTCACTGGTGTGGAGCTATTTTGTGTGTGTGTGTGTGTGGAGATATTTTTAAAATGATTTTATCCTAATGTAGAAATAGATGCATGCACAAATGCAACCAAATTAAGGAGAGAAATAACTGGGACTCAACAGATAAACAGGAATGTGTCAGGTGGAGAATTCCAAGCAGGAAAAAACGGTGGAAAGCCAGGACCAAACAATATTGGTGCAGAGGGTACAAGGAAGAGTGGGTGCAGAAGCTGAGGTTGCTGAGTCAGTCGTGAACAAATTAAAACGAGGCTTGATTTTTATTCTTGCTGTGAGCTGGGGATTGAAACATTGCCTGAGCTTCAAACACCCCCACAGCCCCGCCCCCACCCACACCCCACACATACACATACTCCACTGTGGAAATTACAGCCAGACCTCGGGTATCCATGTCCCCAATCCCTGAGTGGGGCACATCCACTATGAAGGGATGTGGGAGAAGAGACTCCTACTACCCTATATCCATTCAGCAGTTAATGAGTACTTACTAAATGTTAACTTTGTAGTTGATGGAAGTGGGTACACACTTTCTGGCCTCAGTACATATGTGATCTAGTTGCTGTCACTTTTTCCTTCCTTGACACATCATCACTCTGTTAACACAGATTTCTGCGGGTGAGGTACCTCCTTTCTCTTTCACACCAGGATAGGGTCAACTCCAGTTGTTTCTAGTATCTTCTCCTTGGTAAGCTCACGTGAACATCATTTTAGTCACATACTGGGTGAATATTAGGTTTGGATGAGGGATATGCTTTTGGAGATGATTCCTTCAAAAAATCCATCCGGAGATGTTGACAAAATCCCTTTCGTTGCAATGAATGGTGTCTGGGCCATCCAAAGACTTTATCTCATCAAATAATTAATTTAGAGAATACACAACTACTTGTAATATTTACACATTGTATATACAGAAAACTTGTAGACAAATTGATTCCTCTTAATAACCAGGTAATTTATTGGCCATAGACTCTGCATGTCTGCATCGTGCACACTCTTACAACATCCATAAAAGATAGAATTAATATAATTTTACACCGGTACGGAAATAGCGTGCCCAAGATCTCACAGTAAATAGTGGAAACTAGAATTTAACCAGTGTTTCATCTGACTCCCAAGCTATGGAGTTATTACCATACCTTGCAGCTCTCATCTGTTTTTTATAAGCGTGAGGCCTTTTCTCACCTCAAAAAGAATATGGTGGGTAGTTATTAATTCCAAAAACCAAATTTTTTCCGCAACACAAAGTTTATCTCTTTGGATTAGAGAACACAGGTTTTTACGTATCTCCTTTGCTTAAAGCATGCGGGACCTCACTCACCCCCGCCCCCTTGACTCCGCCCCAACCACGCCTGCGCACGCCTCCTCCGAGGCCTTCTTTGAGCCTCTTTGGGCGCTCGGCCACGCCTCCCCTCCTGCACCGCCTTCTTTCCCCGCCCCCGCCCGTAGTCTTTAAAATCCGGAGCGACGGATCGCGCTCTGGAGCCGTGAGTGAGTCGATAGGAAGACTGGGCATGCTCTGTGGCGGCGCAGGTCTTGGTCACAAGTAGGAAGAAGCTAGTGCACGACACCGGTAAAGAGAAGCGAGAGCCGCTGCCGCACAGTGCCTGTGGGGTCCGTCGCCGCCGCCTGGGAGCAGGAGCGGGGCGGGAGCCGGAGCGGGCAAGGGGCGAGGCCGCCGGGCCGAAAGCCGCCCAGCCTGCCCTCCCGTCCTCTGCCTGTGTCCGCGCGGCGCGCCGGACCCCTGAGTTGGTCACCTGGGCAGCAAGGACCCCGCGCAGGGGAGCGGAGCGGACCGTCCCTCCGCCGGCTGCGGCCCAAGGGCGCCCCCGCGGGGCGGAGCAGCCGCTGCCGCCGCCGCCTTCTGCGGGCAGCTGAGTGTCCGGCTTGCGCCTGAGCGAGCGGCCGCCGTCAGCCCCGAGGAGAAGGAGGGGGCAGCCATGGGGCTGCTGTCCCAGGGCTCGCCGCTGAGCTGGGAGGAGACCAAGCGCCACGCCGACCACGTGCGGCGGCACGGGATCCTCCAGTTCCTGCACATCTACCACGCCGTCAAGGACCGGCACAAGGACGTGCTCAAGTGGGGCGACGAGGTGAGCGCCCGCGGCCTCCGCCCCCGCCGGGCGCCCCTGTCAGGCCACTCCGCCTCTCCTTTGTTCGGCGAGGCGCGCCCCGCGCCCCCACGGCGGTCCGCGTCCTGCGGTGCGCCCCGAGGGTCCCCAGACGCGTCCCCGCCCCGGCACGCTGTCCCTACCCTCACCGGGCGGGTGTCCGGGGCTCTCCCGAACATGGGGCCCTGCCCGAGCCTTCTCACTAGACTTCTCTATCCCATTCATTCATTCTTAGGATTTTCCCTTCATTCAACAAATGGGTTAGGCTCTGGGAGGGTGCGAGCGTGAGCAAGTGTGACATTTGGTGCTTTCAAGAGTTTTCAGTCTGTTATATCTGCCGGCCGCGTATCGCGATCTAGCGTCAGGTGTCAAAATGCGCTTTTCCGATCAGTGAGAAAGGGACCAAGTTGTCCTAGAACGGCCTTGCTGCTAGCAATCAAGTCTTCAGGATGTTCGCTTCTGCCCCATCGCATGCAGGTTACTTTAAAACCCCAGCTGCTTCTCATCGGCTTTCTCGCACTCTCTACACCCTTCCTCACCCTCCCCGCTTCACTTTATAGGCATAGAACAGATATTACGGCTCGGTGTTCCTAAAGGGAAGGAAGCTTCTTGTTCCTGTTTAATTCTAAATGGGAACTCTTGAAGGCTCGCAACTGGGATTTGTTGGTGCCTTTCCGAGGCCTGGATCCAGTGTCTAAACTTTACAAATCAATGTTTCAGTGTGTTCTGCCTAGAGCTGAAATGTCTTTGCCTTTTCAGTTTGTTGAACCATTGTTTATTGGAATGATCTGGAAAGCATTGCCCCCTTTAGATTTAGTTTTCTTCTGCCAAATCTTTTTGTGCTCTCCCTTCCCGTTTTTAAAAAGTCACATGTAGATGCTATTTAAATAATTAAATGCTTTTTTGGAAAGTGCATCTGTTTTCACCATTTGTGTTCCGTGGCTTGCTCAGGTGTAAATTTATCTTTTCGCTGATGTTACTGCCCTTGACCCAAGCGTCAGGGTGGTGCTATGCCAATGGAGAATCTGTTTCCTCACAAAATTAGTTTGTTTCTAAAGTTGGGAGATAATTCTGCTTTTTACAGTGGAATTGTGTTTTAAGTTAGAAAAGTATAATAGTAATTCACATTTATACTAGAAGGGGTTTGTTATACTTTGGACAGAAAAGGGGTACAGTATTGTGTTTGGTGGTAACTCTTCAGTTTTATTCTAAAGTTCCTTGTTGCTTCATAGCATCTGACACTGTATGTTCATTTATGTATTGTGTGCATTTAATCTGTCTTCTATCCCCGACCCTCTTTTTTTTTTTTTTTTTTCCTGCCCCACATCTCTTTGCTTCTTTTCCCCCCTAATAAACCAGCATCTTTTGGACTGGGAAATTTACTGTCCAACAGAAACCATGAAGTAGAAAAGTTATCTTAGATATTAAAAATAACACACTTCTCATAACTTTAAATTCTGCTTCAATTATGTGTAGGGGTGGAGTGTAGAATTTTCAAGAAGAGTAAAATTCCTGCCCGCAAGTGTTGACAGTCCAGTCGGAAATAGGCAGCCTGACACATAGGGAAGAATTCAGATTGTGACGGCTGCTCAGATGAAGGGAAAAAAAAAAAAAAAAAAAGCCTTGCTCTACTTTTTACTCCTGAAATGGCACTTCACCTTAGTCCGCTGAAGTTGGTTCTTCCTCCCATCCCTGACCTGTGGTATTGCAGGAACGAATTCTCTGTTGTGGTATCTCTACGACTGGGCAGGGAGGAGGTGAGGTTTTGGAAGAGGGTGGGGAGTCTCATGCCTAAATATTTGCTGATGCCTCCAGTATCATGTCAAAGTAATCGCTCTTATGTTACAGAACATTGTTTTTCAGACTGCAGGTCATGATCCATTAGCAGGTTGAGAAACACGTTTAGGTTCTCTGTAGACATTTTTTCTCTCCAGAACTTTAAAAAAAAAAAGTGAAATGGAATTGGATGAAGAGGGACCACTTTGTCATAAATAGCAAGTATAGCATGTCAAACTTTTGAGTTACTTGAGGGTGTATGTGAGCAGGTCTGTATTGAGTCACATATAAATTATTTTTTTAAAAGATTTTATTTATTTGAGAGAATGAGATAGAGCATGAGAGCGGGGAGGGCCAGAGGGAGAAGCAGACTCCCCGCTGAGCAGGGAGCCCGATGCGGGACTCGATCCCGGGACTCCAGGATCATGACCTGAGCTGAAGGCAGTCGCCCAACCAACTGAGCCACCCAGGCGCCCCGCACATAAATTATTTCTTAGTATGGTTGCCACTTAAGGAGTTTGAAAGCCAGACTCTCACATTTATCTTGGGAGGCTTCCTTGATGAGCTGAGCCTTTGAAAAAGCAGGAGAGAAGTTAACTACTCCAGTGTTGGCGCCATTGCGTACGCATAGGAACTCACGGATCACATCTGAAGTAGAAGTCTGTAGGCAAGGCCAGGCAGCAAGCATGCTTGTATCATGCAGAAGCCTTGAGAAGTAACTGAGAAACAGGCTGGGCAGATAAAAGTGGAGAAGGGTGTGGTGGGTGGTGTGGCCCTGGAGATGGAGGATGGCCTCGCCAGACCGAAAATGGTGTTTGAGATGTGATATGTTGGACTGCTTGGTGTGATACCAAATTACTGCTTTTTGTGGGAAGTTTTGGTCTTAGAAGCTTCCTCCTTGCCCCCCTCCCCCCCCAAAATAACAAACCCTTAAAACTGTGGTTAGGAGACCCTGCCACTTTTGGAAATGCTCAGCCCTGGTTACTAGGACAGTATTTATATCTGGTAGTGTTTATCAGAACCCTGGATTTGTATTCCAGGGCCTGCCAAACTGCCTGTGTGATTGTGAGCCTCAGTTTCCTCTTGTGGAAAATGACAGGGTTGGACTCTCCTAGCTTTTATTGTTTAAGAACCGTTTCAATAAGATTTTTTCTTTAAATGTACATATTTCAAACCAGAATGTTACTTTTTGAAATCACCTGCAGATAGTCTTTAGACTGTTGAGTAAAGCCAAGGCTGCCACCAATCGCTGTAGTAAAAATGGGTTGTATTCTAAAGGTGTATGTCTGCTGGCCTTTTGGAAATCAAAAGTATTTTCCTATGACAACCTTATGAATGTGTAGATTCCCAGATCAGCTTAAAGATGCATGTTTCACCTTTGGTGTAACAGGTCCTAACCCTAGCCACCGTTTATGGTTTCTTTAGGAGATAGTTCTAAGTCCTGGGTTGCCGGGAGAACAGTTCATTTTGCCCCAGGATGGGGACTGTGGGGGAGAGATAAGATGGTTCTTCTTGGGTGCTGTCTTGCCTGCTAAGCATTCTACATACGCAGAAAAGAAAGCACTTACCTTTTCACAGCTGACAAAAACTTTTCAGGTGCAGATTTTGTTTTTAACTGGAGTGTGCAGTAAGTACAACTTTTGAATTCACTCTAGTGTTAGCTGCCCGCTAGGCCTTTTCAGCTACTTAACAGCAGAGGCATTATCAGAATTGAAATCTGACTTCAGGTCCATTTCTTAAACACGTAATACCAGGTTTTGGATTATTTACAATGTGTATGAGATTTCATCTAATCTCCTTTTACAGAGTTCACGCTACAGGTTGTAGAGGTGTCAGAAAACATTTAAAAGCAAATGTATAGTTTTTCTAATTTTTTTAACCCAGTGTAGTGGCTCTTAAAGAAGGTGAATTGTCCTCTAGTTAGCAGAGAGGTGCATGTGAACTTAGGAAAATATATGTCCTTAATATTTGAGTGTGTTCTTACCATGCATAAAGCCAATAAAACTGGGATGGGATATGTTAAGGGCTGATATGTCATCCATTGAGTTTGAAGGACAGATTGGCCTGTGTGGGTTAAGAATGCTTAAGTGACTATTTAGAAAATGCATAGCTTGTTAATTAATAAGCTTATGATCCTATAAAAAATATAACTGAGCTATAAATCTAGAATGGACAAACACATTTTCATTTGAGTGTAAATTAATGTGTAGCTTTGGACAGATTGCTTTATCTCAACCACAGTTTTTTTATCTATAAAATAGGGATGATAATGCCTTATAGGATTATGAAGATGAAATGAGATAATGTTGGTGAAATGGTTTACAAGTAAGTGCCTCGCCTTTTGAGTGAAGACTCATAAATGGTAACTTAAAACATTCGCTTGGAAGTTCTTAAATATCTGTTTATCTCATTTAAATAGCCATGGTCAAGCAGACTCTTAACGATAGAGCATAAACAGGGTTGCTGGAAGGGAGGTGGGGGCATGGCTTAAACAGGTGATGGGGATTAAGGAGGGCACTTAGGTTGAGCGCCAGGTGTTTGGAGGTGATGAATCACTAAATTCTACACCTGAAACTAATATTACTATTAACTACCTTGAAGAAAAAAATAATTAAAAAAATAAATGGCGGGCGCCTGGGTGGCTCAGTCGTTAAGCGCCTGCCTTCGGCTCAGGTCATGGTCCCAGGGTCCTGGGATCGAGCCCCGCATCGGGCTCCCTGCTCCGCGGGAGGCCTGCTTCTCCCTCTCCCACTCCCCCTGCTTGTGTTCCTGCTCTCAGCTCTGTCTCTCTCTGTCAAATAAAATCTTTAAAAAAAATAAATAAATGGCTATGGTCATTGGGGAATGGGGCATTCCGTGTATGTGGGTATTTTTTTAACCAGTTAAATTTGTTTTTTCAGATAGAATTATATTCCATTAGCTTAGTTATTTTTGGTGGTATTGATGGTATTTGAGAACTATAGTATTTCTAAATTGCATTTTAAAATCTAAATTTTGTCTTAAAAATGCATTGGACACTGACTAGAATTAGATATGGAGTACAAATATTTCTTGATAGTCATTAGGAATGTTCAGGTTTCTTACATAGGTCATTGAGTATTTTGTGACCTATAAAGCAAAGTTGTTTTATCTTTCACTTTGCTATCACTGTGGACATTGTTTTAACAGTATTTATTATTCACCTGTCTCTAAAGCACAGTGGTGAA